AAAAGTTGACATCTATAATCGGTATCTAAAATACATTGATATATTTTAGATTAAAAATATTAAAAGTATTGGCAGTCTATGTTTTACGATGAGTTACTAAGGTATACAGGTATAAACGTATATTGAGTATATTGAGACGTGGTATTCGGTGTTATACTTTTCTACATCAGGTAACACAGTCGTAATACTCTTAGAGTTCAAATCACTAACCGATAAACTAGTGAGAATAGAACAAAATTAAGTACGTAATCTTTAATAAATTGAGCGTGTCTAAAAAATCCCTATTATCTGTGGTTATTTTCCACATCGCTTAGCAATCTTCATAGCTATTTCTTTGCCAACACTGGCTTTGTATTTCAAGTTGAGAATATTACTGGAAAAAAGATTTCGTTGATAATTTTATTATTTCGTTGTTAAATTGCTAAAGACTTACATTTAAACGCGGTAAGAAAGAGACATTCGGTTTTTTTTATGTAAATTTTTATTTATATCTAACTAAATAAATGTAATAACGTCGTCGACTAATCAGTCCTTGAAATAGATAGATTGGTTTATCTTAAAGTTTTTAGTTTACTAAGTCATATAACTAGTACTGAGTGATGAGTAAAATAATTTTATACACATACTATTCCAGCAACAACAAACCTCTATTCTGCATTTAGCTACTGAAACTGTTATCGTTTCCTGAATATCTCAATAGCTTATGTTAATAATTACATATACAAGATAATTGCATAGATGAGAGATATTAGGCATTAAGTTTGTTGATGTACGAGAGTGCATAAAGTTGTGTAAATAAGTAAATAAAATATAAAATTCCATTAAGCATATTCTTAAGGCAAAGCATTTTCATAGGACGGCGTAGCGACAGCAGGCCCTAACTCTTTTTTTAAATTCAAGTGATCTCAAAATGATCTAAAGAGGTGTCGCCTCTATGCGAAGAAAGGCCGAATACATTGCGACCACAAAATACATTTCTGGACCTTGAGCGGCCACTAAGAACTTCCTCAATTTTTTCTAAATGTATAATAGTAATTTACTCGGAAGTCGCACTTAAAACACTCGTTAAGGATCGCACGCAAAACATGTGTGAACCTTTAAAATAAATATTTTTAAAGAGATTAGATGATTTCACATTCACATGAAGGATCGTACCAAAGTGTTAGAACGCACACCGTATCATTTTTTAACGTACATTATAATATATTAGGCACACTATAGATGACGTTGGTCATCCTTTACCTACTTATATTATAAATGTAAAAGTGAGTTTGTTTGTTACGCTTTCACGACTAAACCGCTAAACTTATACTAGAAGATTCAAAAGAAACTGATTTTAGACAACATTTTATATTGCCTGGAGAGCCTAGGCACAGCGGCGTAATGACCCAGGTTTGATTTTGCTGAACTGACAGACAGATAATAGATTGTAGGCTCCCATTCTTGGTAGACGTGAAGGTATACTTATAGATAGGCTACTCATTAGCTTGTTGCAGTCTGTGTAACCATTGTACAACTTATAAAGAAAAATAGCATCAAGGTACTGCCTGCGGCTATTAAGTGTGCACATGTTGTAGTGATGGAGCCTTTCGGTGTAGTTGAATAGTGTTTTAGCTTTATGGTGATAAAGAAATCGTTTTTGTACACTTTCAAGACGTTTATTGTACATTTCGTAGTAGGCATTCCATACCATGGAATCGTATTCCAACACTGCCCTAACTAGTGAATTGAAATGAATTTGAAATATCTTACTGCATGGGTTTTTGAAATTTTTATAAATCCCAGCAATTTAAAAGCTCTCACGACTGTGTTAAGAATATGGATTCCATATCAAATTTTAAGTCCCGAATTATCAAATTCTAGGTCCCGAACCTTGTTTGTACTTTGAAGTGGAATAACATCAATGCTATACTTGTTGCCTTATTTGTTTTTATTTCGTGTTAATTGTATGTGGAAGCATTTACCTATATTTAATGACAATTATTTTAATCCTTGCACCAGCATGACAGTGAATTTATGTCAGCTTGTACCATTGTAGCATTTGAATCCCTCCGAATGAGTTTTATAATTTTAAGATCGTCTGCGTAAAGATAGAAGTTGCAATGTTTGAAGCATAAAGATATTGTCAGGACAAGGTTTGTAAAAAAGAATAGAAAAAAGAATTCGTTTTTTTTTTCAATTTTATAATATGCAAAGTGAGTGAGTAAATGAGCTGTTCGAATCGAAAAATTCTAAGGAAGGATATAGGCTATTTAACATCATGCAACGACCAATAGGAGCCGGTATCAATTAACATTGTTGCGAAAACGGGTAAAATTTATTCTATTTTAGAGAAGCAGACGAAGAACGACAGAAAACCTTAAGTGTCTCGATACTGGGGAGATTCCCAACTATTAGACAAATCTTTCTATATAATATATGCGTCAAATGTAAACTTCTCTTTTGTTATAACTCCCGTTTAAATACCTCCGAGGCCTCGATACTATGTTACTATGGTACACTGTTGTTCCAAGGGTTTATAGTAGCTGTAATCTCGGTACTGCCTGTGGTATATTCCGTTGGTTTTGGGTCTTACATACGCTTTGTTTGCCTTAACTTTATTTTTCTAATTTTCTCAGAATAGTACTTTTTGCATTAAACCTTTTTAAGCCTTTGTGTACTTCCCACAACGTGTAGTGTGTAGTAGTTAAGATGTTATAATGTAACAAAAAAACTCATGTTTGCATTTCTGATATGAAATATGATTAGGAGATTGTAAGTCCTAATATTTGGCTTCACTATGCTAACACAAAAGCTACCAATCTATTAGTATAAATCTATCCATTGCAGGCGTTTAAAATTCAGTAAAATCGAGTTCAGTAAAAGAATTCAGTAAATTCACTAGACTACTAGAAACTAGAATGGGAGATTACCGCGTCCAAGTGAAGTGACAGGGAGTACTTGAATCCTTGTTGATGCCAAGTAAGTCATCAAAAATAAAATCTACTGAAATGTACTAGACATTTAATCAACTGAAACTTATGCCCAATTCGTTTTATTTGATTAGTGATATAAATGACGGAGAAAAACGAATCTTATACGTATGTTTAGACTAATCTATATATACTTAAATATAAGTATCTATAAAAATGTTAAGTTGGTTTGGGTACGCTTCCAAAATGCAAAAGTTTAGCACCGATTAAGCTCAAATTTTGACACCACAATGCTGTAACTTCCAGATTAGCGTTTCATGAACAACACAATCAAAAGCTTTAGATAAAGCGCAAAAATGCCTAGGGAACCGTAGGTATTCTTCTAGGTATCAAATATGTGTTTCACAAGCTCAACACTGGCATCAGTTGTGGAGCGACCCCTTGTAAAACCAAATTGTCTATTGTGTAATAAATTAATAGTTTAAAAAAGACTTTGTAATTAATCATACATTTTTTTTTTTAATTGCCGTAGTAGTAGTAGTACCAGTAGTATCAAAATAGGTCTAAAGTTAGTTGAGTGAAATGTACTACCAGATTTTAAATAAAGGTATAATATTACTAGCTTTCATAAGATCAGGAAATATACCACTATTAACACATTGATTAAATGAAACTGACATATTGGCACTTAAATTCAATGTCAATCTACTAATATTATCCTTTAAAATTGATTCTGCACAGCATGGTGGACACGGTATACAACCCGCTTCAAAGATTGTTTTTATCTTTTCTTTATCTTTTTTCGCGTTAGGCTTGTTCCTAGTTTCTAATTAATGTCATGTAGTTATATTAAGCACAGCGTGGCCGAGAACAGCTAGTGTTTTATGTATATACAAAAATAGGTTGAGAAATAATTTACAAAAGAAATCAACAGCAGTTTCACACATTTGTCTGTTAGATATTACGAGTTAGGATAGAAGTGCGATGCAAACGAGAACAAGTAATACTAATTTACGTAAACTTAAGATGTTATAAAGTTTTTCGCTAGTCAAAAAAAAAAACCGTCTACCGTTTAGTAGAAAACTTTTTTTTTAAAGTTTCTAGCTCTCGAAACGTAGTGGCAGTGCTTTTTCACTTGATAGAGCACTTATGTCTTCGTTTGTCAAGTATGAACTATTTGCTGAGAGGATTTGAGAGCGTTGCATACATTATTTTTGAAACAAATTTTTGAGGATACCCTAACTTTACGGCTTGATAATGAAAATAAAAAAAATATATTGATATTAGTATTTGAAGGCAAGCTGATACTTGCTTGTAATTCACGGGTAATAAAAATACTTTATAAAGACTTTAGCAACTGATAAATCATTGTCCGTGGTCATACAAAATGGTGGAGACATTTTTTATTGTAACCGCAGAACAATTCATTGCTTTTACATTTCTTCTTCTATTTTATTGTCAGTCTCAAACACGATATTTCGACGTTCACTTCGATTACATTTTGGCTCTCGGAAATTGTCTCGTCTCGTCTCGGCAAAATCCCAAGACGAGTTTTTTATACGAAAAATTTAAAGCCGTGGTTTTATTTATTTTATTCTAACATTATAATAATTTAGAACGTTATATTATATTAATCGCCTTCTCTGTTAGGGATTATTTTCTTAAAATATTTATGTTAACGTTTATCGAAAGTTCTCAAGAAATGACTTGATGAACAAGATATAAATGGCTTCTACTTTAAACAAATACTAATAATAAAGACTAAATAAATAGCCAAGTAAAATGAACCATGATGCCAATGAACTATACAAGCATTCCGTTTGGCAACTGAATGCTTGTGCAGTACATTGGCATACAGTGTGCACGTGAACAATGCCCCAGTCATCAGGTGTCGACAACAGTGGACGTGTGGATTCTTCATTTCAGACAGTGTTTGTTAACTTTCACTCAAAGCTTATTATAATAAGAGAGAGAAATATAATCACGAATAACCTTTGAGATTGTAGTAGTCATTACACAGAGATCATTAGGTACTTAAGAAGAATGGCTTGTGAAATAATATTAATTATGAATAATTTATTGTTACAGCGATGAAGGCAGCCATCTTAATTCAGCAGTGGTACCGGCGTTACTTGGCAAGAATGGAAGTTCGCAGGCGCTATACTTGGACCATATTTCAGAATATCGAATATGCTGGTGAACAAGACCAAGTAAAGGTAAGAAAAATGTATTTCAAATTCATATCTTCTCTTTTATTAAAACTCAAACTTTTGCCGTCGGTTACTTGCCACGAGAGATGACCTGAATTGTTAAAAGCACTCGTGTATCAACTGCAAATTAGTACAACATCTTATATAATTAATTATATAGTAATTTTTGATAAGTTTGAAGTTTCATGTTCTTAAATATATAATATACTAGCTTTTGCTCCACCCTCCTATGTTCTCTCTCAAGAATCAAACTATCTCCATACCTCATCTGAATCGGTTCAGTGGTTATTGATTACCCATGCAAACTACAGCCCCTCTTTTCACCACCTTACAAGATGATTTCTGGGATAAAAACTATCCTATATCCTTTTCCGGGATTCAAAATATCTATACCAAACTTCATCATCATCATCCAAATCGGTTCAGCGGTTTAAGCATGACGAGGAAAGGAAGAAGAAGAAAGGAAATCTTGAGAAAGGTTATTTAGGTTATTTATAAACACACACGTTTAGTTTCAAGAGATAAATGAGACTGTTTGCGCATCTGTGCACTGGTTTTTAAACTGGAAACTTTCAAATAATAATCGTTTTTAGGTTCTGAATTTGTGGTGTTTTAGGGTATGAATTCTTGAAATAATCATTCATATTCATACGTCAATCAAGTACTTAAAAAAAAATATCAAACTATTTTTCTGAAAAGCTTTCTGGGGCTCGATAATGTGTAACCTTCAGTGAAAAGGTTTAGATGATTTATTTAGTATGAAAATATGTGTAGGTACTCCTGTAAATAAACTAATAAGGTTTGTGAGACTTACTCATTCAATTACTCAATCAGTTTCACATTACATTTGATGATGTTGATGTTCTATGTCTACACCAAGTTTCTATGCGAATTAGAATAACAAGATTGGGTGGTATGTGTAACACAGTCACTTACCAACTCCATTTTCGAATTTGCTTAATAAAGAAATCGATAACTATTTACATGCAAATTAGGGCACAGGATCAATAAACTGGTTTATAGAAACCTTTGTATTTCCTCCGCGATAGAAACTAATCATTATGTTAGCTTAAGACTAACATAATGTCAAAAGATTATAAAACTGCAAGCAATATTGGCAAAGTCGTTTAAGAGCCGTGCTTGTAGTCTGTGATTTATAATTAAATACCCAGATAAAGGAATAAATTACACTTTAGAACGATTAACGTTGGCGTTTGATTTAAATTTATCGTAACGGCTTGTCCAACTTTCTGAAATGTAAATTGTGAAAATGTTATTCGGATGTACTTTAAATAAAAATAATTAATAAAAGAACAAAATCTGCTATGGCTGAGCTAGGGAGGGCAAAGTTTTAATTTAAGTAAGTAAAGGGAATAAGACTATATTTTTTTATTTGCATAGCTTTTAAACCTGACTATCTGCTGCTTTAATATGTAAATATGCGAAGGCATCTTATGATCTGGATATTCTGGTCTTATTCTAGTAATAATAGTCTTGCATCTCTTCTAAAACAATTAAAAACTGACTTATGAAAATGCTTCTGGCTTAGTGAGTAAAATATATTATCAAAGCATAGGAAGTAGGAAAGTTAATAAATCGAAAAAAATGATCTCATCCAAAGAAGACAGCCATAACAAACGAATTAACCTGGGATTGTTGCATCTCCATTCCATTTATCTTCGGACATCTCTGTTTCAACAATAAATGCATCGTGACGAATATAATTTATAAATGTAATATTGCTGCAATTCATTAGGGTTCGCACCAGTTCGTTATTTCGATAACATCTCGATTTATAAATTGTCCCATTATTGCTAAAGGACCTCTTCTCAAAGAGATGGCTGATCTAATACGCCGAGTTTGAACGAATCGGTTGGCCGATTTAATAAATATTTTTTAACCTTGTATGAAAATTAGTACAATAAGTTTTTCCATTTTATGGCTTTCTATAAAATTTATCATAGATGTTTTCCTTCCCCATAAAGACTCCAATACTCTACTTTTTTACATTATGTTCGTAAAGCCAGAAAAAGTCGTGTACCCGTAGTTAGAAGATAATCATCAAGTTTTATATAAATGACTCCAAATTCTATTATATTGGTTAAGCCACACAAAATCACGCGTCTAATTAAGTTAATACCTTCATTCCCAATTTATTATTTTATAAGTGAAAATAGACGTAAAATGATTAATCCAAAGGCGATAAATCTCAACGTAACTCGATTCTACTACAATCTTACATTATTAAGTTCATTGACGATATCACATCGAATTAAGGCTGAGATGGTGCGAACAATCTAGCTGGCGGCGTCGGTTCCATTGACTCAATTTGCTCACTGAACATTTCAGTGCAATCATTCAGTTTCAATGAGCAATATCACGCACGGTCAAATTATATTATCCTCAAATTTTATTATATTTTCATGTCTTCTTTTCACGTTTTACTTCTTTTACTCTTTGTAAACCTAGGTTAAAGAATATTATTTTTATTGTAGTATTTAAATTTTAATAGAGATTTTATTTTTATACAATCATTTTAGCTCAAGTTATCGAAAGCTCCACGCGTATAGTGATCAACGTTTATCAATTTTCAGGGCTTAATTCATCGAATGAATTATTATTATTATGTCAAACATTTATGATTAAAAAGAGAACTACCTGTTTTTCATCAGCTTCTGCTTTGCCAACATGGCTGTTTTATAGAAAGATAACCGTCACTGTTTTTAAATTTACATTTAAAAATAGTAAAAGGTTAATAAAAAATAACCAAACCTATCAAGTAGGGTATACAAATCAAGAAAATTAAAAAGGGATTACAAAAATATAATAAGATCCATAAATTTAAATTGCAGTAAACAAATAAATTGGTATTAAAAGTTTTTGATAGCGTAAAAATGAGCAATGTTAGTGCCAGACCTTGTTCTATTTCGATCTTTTTGGTGCAATACTTTTAAATTGTAGTTTTGCAGTAGGGTATTTGATTTTTTAATTGTTATTTAAGTAAATTTACTTTACTTAATTAAGTAAGTAATTACTAAAATATTTAAATATCCAAAAAAATCATAACCCAGAACAACAACTTACAGTATTAGCTGACATATAGTAAGCTAAAGGACAGAGGTTGAGTGATTTGACCTGGTTAAGCGAACGCCGTTCTAGACCCTCTACTTTCAATCTATGCATGTAATTATTCAAATTTTATGGGTGCCTTGTAACACAATTATCCTTTGAGGTTAATGTTCTTTTGGGTAAAGGTTGTGCTGTGTCGAGATTGTGGGTTGTACGGGTGAATGCTTATAGTCGCACCTATATAGAGCTGCAACGTCGACACTGTTAGGATTACAAACTAGTGATGCGAGAGCACAATATGTACGCATGGTGTGCATGGTCAGAATTTTTTAATACCCAGTTCACAATCGTGAATATTAATTTTAAGTTACAAAACCGTGCGTTGTGAGTTTCATATGAAAGCTTGTGTCTTGCTTATACTACATACTATTATGAAGACGAAGATTTTGAAATTAAACTCAAAAAGTTTGGTGGTGTAATACCCTACGAATTTACATACACACAAGCTATGAAAATTATTCTTGGTTTCTCATTACTTTATATTACTCGGTAAATTAATGTTAAACTTTAATTTTAAATTATTTTCACTGAAATATGTCATAATTTATGTGGTGGATTTTTATCAATTTCAATTTTCTTTCGGTAAAATATAATGTTTTAAGATTTAACAATTCGTAAAAAGATAAATTCGACCAGGATCAAGTTAATACATCTCAGCTTATACAACAGATATAAAACAGTATGTTTTTGAAACGAAGACTTAAAGTTATTTATTAAATCTTAAAGAGAGTTCTCTACGCTTTATTGAATCTGAAGACAATACGGAGAATTAATTAAACACCGGAATAAAGACTTCAAAACCATGTTTAATGACACCAATAGACGTAATATATTTATATGTGGGACAATACTACGGCACGATGTGTACTCGAATTATATTAAAACTTGAATATTTAACTAATAAAGTTTTTTTTTGTTATTGAATCTGGTGCAAAAAAATATTTTTGAGATATCGTATAGTCATAAAGTAACGCTAACTCATTAGTAAGCAGAAATACATTCTGATTAAAAAAAAATGACTATGCCACATATTTCCAAGTTCACTATACAATGAAGTTATTTAAGAAATTATGCAACAATCATATCTCACAACTTTTCGCGGTAGAAGAATAACAAGTATGTTGCGACTTGTGAAACGAGTTTTCATATGTTAGTTTTTTGAAAGGATTTGTAATGGGTACACTAAAGGAAACATTACAAGTCATTACCCCTGACTATATTAACTTAGCCAGAGTGTTCAAGTGCACAAAGAAAATAATTAAAAAATCTTTAGAGGCATATTTCCTTCAAAATTTAACCAATTGCAATTAAAAGATAAACATTTAAATCGGTTTACAACGGTGAAGGTACAAAAAACAGTCGGATTAGGAACGTCCCATTTTTTTAAGTCTGTCATAATTATTAGTTTCTGAGCGATCTTCTTGCGTTGTAGTAGAGCCTCAGTAATTGTCGCGGGTGGTTCACCGTATCACTGTATAGGGGATCTTTCGCAGATGGTAGGGCCTTTTTCTTTAAATCATAGACATATGTCACCATTCTTAACTCAACTTTCAATTTCACAACTGACACCAGTTGTAAGGAAAGTGTGCACGGGATAGTCTTCTTTACACAGAGAACCGGACTTAGTGACGTAGCTCTGACGTGGTCCTCTCTGATGAGCTTTGACGTGATCTTCAAATATTTAAATAGGAATTCAGAAATCGAGCTCTTATCAAAGATTGATTTCGACGAGAAATTCTCAATGGCATGTGTAAACATTGTCGTAATCTAATGATGACGTATAGGTGTCGCAACAAAATGTATCTAAGCAATGGTCTATTGGCGTGACGTATTGGCGGACATGGCGTAATTGAAGCCTTTTTGTAGACACAGGCGTTTAATACGATGACGTTGTTTATTGTTTAAAAGTGACGGAGCGGCCAAAGAGATTACGGTAGTCGGTGTAATTTATATCCTGTTTTAACATTTATAGGAAAATTGAGTAGTTAATAATAAGCCTGTAGGTTATTTATGATAATAAACTTCCATCAAACATGCAAGACTTAATTTAATTTGATAATATCTGCTAGTATTCTGTACACATTAACTCTTGATTTTTTAGAAATTTCGAGAAATTCTACTATGCCCTGAAACTAATATGGGCCTGTTCTCAATGTATATCCTCCTAATATTATTTACGACACTAAATCAATCGGTTTAGCCTAATCAATTATTGATAGTAGGAGTTTTAATCGAATACAAATTATTACAGTGAATAATAACAAAGACATCATGTGGTCATATGTCTTTGTTTTGTACCACTAAATCATGACATTAATATTATTGTACCGATCGTAGTGTTTACCTTACCTATTTGTATTTCTGAAACGAACGAAATTATACTTTATGGTGTAAAACTCGAAGGGTAGTTTAGCACAACGGTAGCGGTAACTATTTGCGTGCCCTAGTCACCCATATATTCTACATTAAACTAATCTACATTGTAATATTTGTCAAGGTGATTTCCAAATGTATGATATCAATATCGTGGCGCTACTGTTTCATAATGTATAATGTACTATAGACGATACCGTATGGATACTTTGAAAGTAGGTGCAGCTGCTCTGCAGCTTTCAGTAATTGCTGTAGATATTCTTTTAAAGACTAATCCCGTACTAGAAATAAATCCTATGTCGCGGGAAACTTTACAAACATGCATGAAATGGACACAGGGAACACCCAGACTCAGAACAACAATTTGTGGATCACACAGAAGGAAGCGGCGTGCAGTCAATTGAACCTAGTTAGAGAATTTACTTATAGAATTTTGGAGAATTTTACTTACAATCGACTGACTTTCTTTAACTGCTTTACTCGCATAAAAGTAATTATTGTAGACCTATGAATCAGCATTGTTATCCGAATGTGAAACATTTTAAGTAAGAGAAAGTTACAGCTTATTTGAATGAAAAATTTCATAGACCTAGCACACCAATTCGTTTTGAATGTCTGTTATACGTGAACACAGGATTTTGTGACGTCTTAAAGAGATTTAGTTCAAAAATGTTGTGAGACATGTCCCAAACGTTGGCATATAAGAAAAAAATCCTAGTTGTTATTCACGTGCCGTCAAAATCATTTTCCTTCTAAAACTCTAGTAATCAAACTGATCCGCAGGAAAAACACACTATGCAATTTCTTGCATGGCATGTCTAAGTGTACTCGTAGATATTTTACGTGTGCATATGAATTTTTAGTATTATCAATTTATTCTTGATCTACAAAAATTATACTTAATTAGAATATAATTGGCCTATTCGCTCACTATGTAACTAGCTACTAATACTTTCAAGTACAGTCGTACTAAGTGCGTAAATGAATTTAACGTAACCGAATACGTAACGTAACGTAACATAGTTATATGTGGGTGTAACGCCTACTCTAAATGTATGATGTTTATTTGTTTCAGCTATACAACTTCTTTAATGCGTTGTTGAGCCATATGAAGGACACCAGTGGGAGACCCTCTTCTGAACGAACTTCGAGGACTACTTCCGTTTGTAAGTTACTTCACCTTGGCATTTTCAGAAATAAACGAGCATACCCTCAGTAGATTTTATCTTAATGATGACTCGTAACAACTATGTGATTTTGAATAGTATAAGGGTATTTGTTCAGTGGTGCATATCATATAAGTCTGCGAACACACTGGAACCAACGAAATAATGTGTGGAATTTTTTGATTTAATGGTTTTGGAACGTAGTTTACTTAGTACTTCATAAAACAAGTATTGTATGAAATAACAAGTATTGTATCATATAATATTTGTAATGGCATGTTAATGTTCTTTAAAATTTTATTTCAATTTTAAAATTAAGCCTTATATTTTATTTGAAACGTTGATATGAATAGAGACCCTTATCGGCAATGTGTTCGTCGAGGATCATTATCAAAATACGACTGTAGGCCACGTAACATTAGGAAAGTTAGTTTGATACTCTAATATCAAACGATGGCTAATAAAAATTCTAGAGCTGCTACTGCTACCGAATTACAGACCACGCTGAAGTTAGAGTTTGAGAAACTCGAGACTCACGTACGGCAAAGTCATCCTATAATTTTTACAAATCATTCATGACTTACTTTTAATCCGGACAGAAACACTACTAGAATAAGACCTGATTAAAAAGACCAATCTGAAAAAAATATTTTTTTAAATACGTAGAAAATATTCTTGTACGGCAATATTATAGATAATACGAGTATGTAATATAAAAGTCACAATATACACGCATTTATGCAGTAAGTTAATAATGCAGAATGAAAAGAAACGATTGAATTATTCCTCGCAAAAGAAATTTCGTTTACCCTAAAAAAATAAGCGTTCCTTTTTCCTATTTCTCACATTCCCGATGTCTTCGTTTTCCTTTTTGCTTCTATCTTTACATATGTCACGAGCTACATAATTTAACTAGCTGCAGTAAAGTTTGCCTCCAATGCAAACAAAACTAGGTCTCGGCTATTTTTAAGCCAGTTTGTCACCAAATCTCTGTCCGTTAAATTATGAACTGTTGCATGCACTTGCTCTGCACTAGACAACACATACGAAGTGGATAAATGATTGAAAATACTTGACTATTATAAATACGTATATTTCTTTTATTTAATGCGAGCATTCAGCGGTTAGTATCGTCTGTACATATGGTAGGGCCTAGATCGATATTCTGTCTGAACGACGTCATTGGCGACTTACGTATCATAAGTTGCTAACAACTTATTCTGCTATTTATTAAAAATTATTTTTTGCTAAAAACTTACTATACCCCTTATGGACGAATACTAATAGAAAAATAACGTTTAAACTAGATACTTATAATAATTTCTGAAATGGTATTTTATTAGGAAATGTATTTGGAATTATTTGAATTTAATAAATGAATGCAATTCACTACAAAATCACACAAATTCAGACGAATTGCTGTGTTGTGTGAGCGAGGTAGCTGGAAAATAAATCTGCGGAATCGGATTGCTGCTCCGCTTGCTGCTCTTGTATTACCAAATAGAGAGCTTTATTTGAATAAATCCAACGTTGTAGACTGGATCAAAAGTTTAATTTCCATATTAAAATGCATTGTTTGTGAACTAAAGTTCTTTAAAATAATATTTGAGGTTTTGGAGATGTGAGTGTTAATGTAATATGATTCTACTTCATTAGTTATCTGTCTATCAGCCAGTAGTATACTAGATAAATTGCTTGTAATATTTTTTTATTTATAGATTCTTATGACTAAGGAATAAATATGACCACTTTTTAATGGAACAAATGATAAACTACTTTGTAATTAAATTCGAAAAGAAGTAGGTTCTGAAGTAAATGTTTTTTGTATTTTAGTTACCTATGTATTATAGTATCTTTACTATTTGTAAACTACTTTAAATATTTACATTTTTAAATAAATTGGCTACACTCAAAGTCCTATTTAAATTAGAAGAAAATATTTCTCCTCGAAAGGTTAAAAAATGTATTAATGAGAAATACAGTTTCCTACAATATATAAGTATTGTGTTTTAATTTCATTGAAGTCACAGAACACACACAAGAACACGAGTCTGTCTTTATATTTGATACGTGTTCAGAAGTAATGATAAAGAAATTAGGTGCCTACATTTAATTTACTTTATATGGTGGCGAAATCACACCAAAGCGTGTAGTTATTAAAAAACATTCACGAACTGGTCAAGTAGGCCTAGCGAAGTAGCCTACCTGATAAACTGCTTGGAATAGAATCTAGTTTGGTCAGGACGGGTGTATTTAGTTAAGTGGATATAAGCGGCAATTCACCAACTGTATTTAAACCCTCGGCAATCATAAACATGTTATTGATAAACGTAAACCAAGTAGTGGAATCACCAAAAAAAGTAAAATAGTTTTGCGGAACCATATCGCCTTTGTAGGGTTTTTGCATTGCTACAAAGAGCTAACAGTATCCTGTTTGCAAACACAGTAGATAATACATTGGCATAAACCTCGTACTCTTTTATTGCAGTCCACACAAACAAAGTATTTCCTTTAAAATTGACACATAATTATATTATTTTATTAAAATCCCCAGAAATGATCATAAAAAAATGGGCAATTTTATGTACCTACAGGAATCAGAGTAACGTTTGCTTATGTAACCCGTTACAACATCCAACAGAAAACAATATTGTTTATATGGATTATAAACATCAAGAAACAACTTCATTATTTTTACGATCACAGTACTGAAAAACATTTTAAATAAACAAAAACAACTTACATTTAGGTAAGATTATCTATTTCCTGCAAAAGAAAGGATTTACGATGCATAAATTATTTGTAAGCTGTTTAGTTATTTGCGTTTTTGATAGTGTTTTAATTAAATCTTCGCAAGTCAGTCTGTTGAGCATTAAGTTTGAGCGAGTTGAGTAGACGAAAGAAAAGATTTTTTGGTTGCGTAACTGAGCATACAATGTGTACTACACGGACTGAGACAGTGCATGAAAAGTTTTTGTAACTAAATACAAAAATGAAACATTCTCATCATCAATCATCATCATCAACAGCCTTTAACAGTCCACTGCTGGACATAGGCCTCTCCTTAGAAAGGAGGTTTTGGCCTACTATACCACGCTGGCCAGACGGGTTGGTATAGGGTTTGTGTCAAGTTTTCCTTCAGTTTACATTCTCTAAAAAATCTAAATTAAACTATCGTTGTAATTATTTTCTAATTCGTTTGTTTAATAAAAAAATGTTCAAAATTGATGCAGTACAGTCAAATGTTTTTAAAATAAATATATTTTTAAAATATCATGTAGGTAGTTTCTGAGCTACCACTACGTACTAAGCTGATCTTAATCTTATAGTGGAACAAGTATTTTCTGAGGAGTCAGACGAGGGTGGGGGCGTTGAAGAAACAGCTCCCCCGAAACATTCCCGGGGCCCCGATATAGAATTCCCACTGCAAAGAAAGGATATCGACTTGCTGATTGAGGCGTTTAGAAAGAAAAAGGTAAGGTACCTATTTTGTTTTGTTTCTTTCATTGCTTTTGTGACGTTACATTTTTTTTTCTGTTGTACCTATAAGGGCATACATTTTTACTTTGTGTTTCTTTTTATTTCCTATGTAATAAACTAATAAAGATAGACAAGACAATGCCGTCGTTAATAGTTACAATGATAATGCCTGATAATCTGTCAGTAAATGAAGCGTAAGGATAAGGGTAAAAAGTAAAGCAAATGTGTTAGTCTTACAATAACATAATGAAACAATGAGAATATTTTTTCAGAAAGAAAGCTGGCTGACCTGCGATAAGCTTATTTAGTGTAATTGCAATATAACAAGTACTTTATCCAAAAGTTAATAACTATCTCTATTTAACTCTAGACTGGCGTAAATAAAACATTAGACCGTTTGAGTATAATATATACCTACATAACCATTATTTATAGGTAGGATCACAGTCGACCTTTATCATTTCGGGCGAGATCCTAGCGTAATCTCTAGGTCTTCATTTACGACATCCATAAGAAACAATGGGTCGATCCTTTTAGAATACAAAAACCTTGCGGTTTAGTCGACATCGCTTTATTTCTCTGGATTTTAAGATGATTCCGCTAAATGTAGTTCGTTCATGTCTAATAATAATAGGTACCTACTAAAAAAATTAAAGGCTAACAAGATTAACTAATAACTACTACGATTGTTATGTAACGGTAGCAAGTTATTACTGAAACGAGACCGAATTTCGTTTTAAGTTAGCATGGAGCAGAAACAATACTGGCAAAATATTTATAACTTGTCAAACTTCTGTGCACCTGTGGCCTAGTTTCAGTCTGAGCGTGTTTTACTTTATACGTTCAAATCCATGACAGTGGAGTTGCTCTAAGCAAAAGCTCTTTAATTGTCTTTTAACGTGTTGTAGAAAAAAAAGCACTTTGCATTTTTGTGTAATATTTGTGTAATGTACAGATGTAATGTTTCTGATTCTCATAAGAGTATGACATTTTGATAACGATTGAACGAACATAGTTCTTTAGAAAAATGTTGTTTCTTAATTTCTTTTTCTTTTCTTTCATGTCATGTACATGTTAGTTAAAGCGCAATATTGATTTTGACGTTGTGTATTTCAAAGTACATAGGGATTTCGCAAGTATTCACCAATTTCAAACCTTTTTTATTCCTTTCTTTTGCTTTGAGCAATCACCATATATATATTATATATAGTATATATTTACACAAATACGATATTTGCTGAGCTAAAACTTTGTCACGTCCTCTCTATTGGTCTAAATAGAGTTGTCTTCAAGTGAGCCATATTCTCGTTCTGCAAAGTTGTCTCAAAAAAGGTAGATTGTTGACCTTACAGTGTGTCGTGTGTTAAGCAGGGTACTATTTCGGTGACAGATCTTTGACAAGGAGCCTATAGTTAGTGCGACACAAGTGTAACGATGATACCCAACGATTACATTATAACTGCCAACCGCTTACCATATAGGTTTAAGTATACTTTATTGCAAGGTTGGTTTAGAAAAGGCAATTCTTCTAAGATGCATACTAATCGAGCGGTACCATAGCAGACCTAATGGTTCCTGTACAGATTAAAAAAAGAGATTAATGAGACCATATCAAAATCCAAACTTTAAATCGAAAATATTTCTTAAATAAGTGACATTCATTAAATTCCTCTACCTCAACATTAAATAAGTAATGTAATAACCAATTTATTTTGCAGCATCGCCTTCATCCCAAACATGTCGGACAGATATTGAAAGAGGCCGCCCAAGTGCTGAAAAGAATGCCCAACATCCACGTAGCGACCACTTCTATCTCAAGCCAGATAACAGTTTGCGGGGATTTGCACGGCAAACTCGATGATTTACTGGTTATATTCCATAAGGTACGAATATCTCTATATATTTTTAGTATAGTTAAAGCTTTAAAGTATGAGTATAAGCTATATTTGATTCGACGGCCGGACGGCGTAGTGGTTTCTGTAACGGACTTCTACGCTTCAGGTCGCGGGTTCGATTTCCGCTCAATTCAAACCTTTGTGTGCATGAACATTAATTTTATTTGATTTAGTCTGGGTGTTTCTATGTATAATATGAATGTTTTTTTACAAAAAAGGTATAAATATATTTATATCAGTTGTATAGTACCTATAGTATAAGCTCTGCTAAGTTTGTGACCAAATGGCGTTCTATGAATGATGTAGAATATCATTAGTCTTATTTAAATATCCTATTTAAAATTTAAATGCTAAACATTTAATTTTTTTAAACATAAATTTAAAATAAAAAAAACCGGTCAGGCAGGAGTCGAACTCGTGCGCCGAGGGTTCCGTACCTACATTAAGTATAGGTACACACACAACACATAAGTATTTATATACACATATACCTTACCTTATCCTATCATACATACTCATAATTATATATTTACGGAACTACTATACTATACTACTTATATGACGGAAGACCGATGTCTGGGTTGTTAGCAATATGAAGTCATTCTTTAGATTGTACTGTTTTTGCTTTATAAAAGCTGTTATAAATAACAACAACAATAACAGTAAACACAATTAAAGATGTTTACCAAGTTCTTACCAACAGTCTTACATAGATCTGTACAGTAGTAAATAAAGACAACAGTAAATACAGTTAAAGATGTATTCCAAGGTCTCACCAACAGTTCTACATAGATAAGGATAAGGAATTTAATAAATGTTCCCGCGATAGGTATTTAAAAGTTTGCCGAGTTTTAGCCATCCTGATCTCGAGAGGAAAGTAGAATGTACGAAGTCAGAGCGGTGAGTAGGACAGTGAAGAAGTAGGTTGCTTGAAGCAAAGTGTTTTAGCGTGGTTTGCACCTTTTTTTTTTTTTTTTTTTTTTTTTTTTTCCCGTGCGGAAATCCCCTCGGATACCACCTGTCGGTGGCATGTCGGACTCGAACCGACTAAAACCGCACGCCTTCGCCGGGTACTAATAGCCGGGGAACCAGGTATACCCTAGAAAGGAAGGCCCTGGTGCCCCGACATACCTCGGGTCATCTACAGACGAGTAGACGACCCCCGCCCCGTGTGGGAACCCCATGTTCCCTGTGCTCCCTGAAAGCGAGCGCGCTTCGCAACGCGCTCGCCGCCACCCCGGCCTGCTTCTGCTAGGGTGACAGATGGCCTCACCTGTCACCCCCAGGCCTGCGCTTATGGAGGACGGAGGTCGTTCTGCGACCTCCGGCGCCTGAGTCGCCTGCGCTGCCTGGCCCGTGCCCGGGCCTGGCGGGCCGGGAGAGTTCTAAACCTCTCCCGGTCCCGCTCCGCCGTCTCCTTCGCGAGCATAACTTGCTCGCAGAAGGAGACGGCAGAGTTCCACGCACTCTCGCTCCGCACGATAGCCGCAATCAGGCTATCGAGCGAGAGAACTCCCACTCCGATGGCCGCCACGAGGTCTCGCCTCTGCTCAACCCACGCCGGGCACTCTGCCAGCGTGTGGAGAGCCGTGTCCACGGTCTGGCCATCGCAGTGGTGGCACTCAGGCGTTGGCTCCTTGCGGATCAGACACAGGTGATCTCCGAAACATCCCTTCCCAGTGATCACCTGCGTCAATCGGTATGAGAGGGTCCCGTGACGCCTCTCGAGCCAATCCTCCATAACGGGTCTTACCGCCGCAATGACGGCGTGCCCGGCGCTCGGTTGCCCGAGTCGTTCCCTCCACTCCCCTATGATGACCTGGCGGAGTTGGGATTTCCGGTCATCGATTTCTCGAATCTCGGGGTATCGACCCAACTCCTGCGCCTCCTTGCGCCACTGATACAGTGCTGCAAGGGCTCTCGCCTCCAGGTCCCACGGTGGAGTTCCGGCCAGGAGACTCGCCGCCTCGAAGGAGATCGTGCGGTACCCCCTTATGATCCTGATGGCCAGCATTCGCTGCGGTCGCCGCAGTATCGCGACGTTGCTGGCCTTCAGGGCCCCCGCCCATACTGGGCACCCGTAAAGGGCCATGGACCGCACAACCCCCGAGTAGAGTCTCCGGCAGGAGTCATCGGGTCCCTTCATGTTGGGCAGCAGCCGCGCCAACGCACGCGCTGCCCCAACCAACTTGGGGACCAGACCTCGGAAATGATATCCGAAGTCCCATCGGCCATCGAGTACGAGCCCCAGATACCTGATCGAGGGCTCGATGCCGATGCGAGTGCCTCCTACCGTGAGGCTAGATCCCTCAGGCGGCTTCCTCCGAAGCCCGTGAAAGAACAGGGCCTCGGACTTGTGCAGAGCCACCTCGAGACCCAGCCGCCGGATACGCTCAACGACTTGGGCAACCCCGGCCGTGGCCCTCAGGGTTGCCTCGTGGTGCGTCTTGCCGCGCGCCGTCACGAGTGTGTCGTCCGCGTAGCACACGACGGCGACACCATCCAAGAAGGTACCACGAAGCACCCAGTCGTAGCCGATGTTCCACAAGAGTGGCCCTAACACCGACCCCTGCGGAACACCGCACGACATTTCACGCCTACCGAGACCGGTCCTACTGGGGTAGACGACGGCTCTCTCCGACAAATATGCCCCGACTATGCGGCGGAGGTAGAGAGGCACTTCGTGATACACGAGCGCCTCCCTGATGCAGCTCCAGGGCATAGTGTTGAACGCGTTGGCGATGTCCAAGGACACCGCCAACACCACTTCGCCCCGGGAGACTGCTTCCTCCGCCAGAGCCTTCACGCGCATGATCGCATCCACGGTGGAGCGCCCCTGACGGAAACCGTACTGGTTGTCCGCCAGATCCGGCCCAACCATCACGAGATGCTTGACGAGGCGCCTTGCAATCACTCTTTCAAAGAGCTTGCACACCTCGTCAAGCAACACTATGGGCCGGTAGGCGGACGGTGAGTCCGCCGGGCGCCCCTCCTTTCGGATGAGGACCAGTTTCCCCGTCCTCCACAATTTCGGAAACTGGCCCCGCTCGAGGCATGCGCTGAAAAACCCTCGCAGTCGGGGCCCGAGAGCCTCGTCGACTAAGGCCAGGACCCACGCTCGGCCAGGAATGCCATCGGGTCCCGGGGCGGTGTTTTTGGCTTTAAGCCGTAACACCGCCACCCTTAGTTCCACCCCAGTGACCTCAGGCACGTCGTCGTCATCCACGTTAGGCGCCTCAAGCGCCGGAGGCGGAGCCATCTGTGGCGGAGTATGCTCCACCACTCGCGTTGGGAATAGGGAGCCAACGACCCTCTCAAGCAGCTCTGGCTGAAGACACCGTGTGAGCGGCGGGGCCCATGGGCGCATCTTGCCCCTAACCATACGGTAGGGGCGTCCCCACGGATCCCGCTCCAGTGTCTCCAGCATCTCGCGGCGGGCCTCGCTCTTGGCCCGCTTTATCGCTGCCTGAAGGGTCCTCTTGGCAACCCTGTAACCCGCTAACAGCTCCGCCTCTCTCGCTGCCGCATCTTCGGGGCGGCGACGCCTCCTGCGGAACCTGGACCACTGGCGGCGCGCGGTCACGCAGGCTTGACGCAGCCGTGCGATCTCCGGCGACCACCAGTAGACCTGGCGCCTCGCAGTATTGGGCTGAGCCCTAGGCATCGCCGCATCGCAGACGCGGGTCATGGCCTCCCGGAACCACTGTGCCTCATCATCGACGTCGACAGGCCTGTCCGGCGCAGGAGCCCAGGCCTGTACGATGGCGGCTTCCAGGAGGAGGTCGCGATCTAAGCGCTTGAGCGCCCAACGTGGTTCAGGTGGTGCCGGTCTGACCGGCGCGCCATCTGTAGGGGCGGAGACGTCAAACCGAATATATCGGTGATCCGAACCTGTCTCCTCCCCGACAACGACGCGCCAGCCTTGGACACGACGCGCTAGCGAGGGGCATGCGAACGAGATGTCCACAATCGAACTACCCCTCGCCGTCACGAACGTGGCCACGGCCCCCCGGTTTAGGAGAACTAGGCCGAATCTTTCAGCCCAGTTCTCCAATGCCCTGCCCCTCGGGTTCGTGCGCAGGGAACCCCAAGCCTGCGACCAGGCGTTGAAGTCCCCCAGCACAAGAACCGGGTGGGGGCGACAGGCATCGACGACGACGGCCAGCTGAGCGAGCCATTGCTCGAACTCAGTTATGTTTCGGTTCGGCGTGAAATAAGCGGCCACGACCGCTATATCTCCAACTATCGCCGCTACACAGCCCCGTCCCCTTGCAACTACTGCAAGAGGTGGAGTGCCGGCTGCGGTACCGTGCACCAGGGCCGCCGTGCCGTCCAAGTCGGTCTCCCAGGCAGGCCCGAGAAACCGATGGACATATGGCTCGGCGATAGCGGCGATGTTGATGGACCACTGTGCCATGCTCTGGAGCAGAAGATCCTGAGCATCGGCACCGTGGCCTACGTTCACCTGGAGGATGCGGAGATGTGGATCCATCACTGGACTTCCATCCCCGCATCCCGCAGCGAACTTTGCGGCTGTCCAGCGGCACTCTCCGTCTGGATCAGCGGCTCGGAGGCGGAAGGTCGGCCTCCCGGCTTCGGTCGCGATAGGGCACAGGCCTTACCACCAACCCGGTGGTCGGCAGGCTTGCCCCCCGCTGCGCACCTAAAGCAACGCAGCGGAGCGTTGCAGCCACCCGCCTTGTGACCGGGCTGGCCACAGCGGAAGCATCGGTCACCTACGGTGGCCTCCGCCGTGCAGTGCACCCCTACGTGACCCACCGACAGGCACCTGAAGCACCTTGCCGGTCGGGCCTGCAGGAGCCGTGCCTGCGCCCTCAGGAAACCTCCGACCAGGAGGCTCCGTCCATCGGCGACCTTCTGGGCCGCCGCGATGGGGCAGCTGACAACCGCTGCCCCCTGTCCACCGGGGCCGAAGCGTATTGCTCCGGCCTTCACGCTGTCCAGAGGGCAGCTTCCCGTCTCCGCCA